AATTCAAAAATTTTTCTTTTTTCAGAACTAAATATAATTATAATTAATAAAACATTTAATATCATTACCATTCTTCGGAAAGATTTATATTTAAAAAGAAAACAAAAATTTTTAGTTTTTAAAACTTATTTAACAATACAAAAAAGTTGAATGAAGAACTTCGAAGTAGGGTCCATAAATTTATGTGGATGAAATAAATAATATCAATGATATAACAAGAATTATTATCATGTGAATAGCAAACCATAAAGGACAAGATTACTAAAATTTATTTATTTCACTTTTAAAACGATTTGATAAACCAAAACTATATATTTGCATGATAGATACATGCTCAAAAGAATATTACGATTGAGGTACTTTTTAACATAAAAAAAATTCTCTCACATTTACAACATATAGAAATACTTTGAACAGATCTCAGGAATAGCAGAACGTATCGCACATACAGGAAATCGAACTTGAAAATATCTATCCGACATCTTACACTCTAAACAAAAGATGTGTCTTAGCGGGACTAAACAATTTTCTCTGCAGACACACAAGAAGACTTTTTAAGGTTTCGTACCAAACCCAAAAACAAAGTTCCCTAAGGAAAGCATAAAATCTTTCACTGATCTGTAGACTAAAATAGATTTTCTGCTATTTCTAGGAAATCTTAAAGAACTGCTAGCGTAATCCTTGTAGGATTAAAATGTGAAACACGATATAATTGTTATTTGCAGCCTCAAGAAGAGCATTGTCAAGATACCTGTCACGATCTGTGATGAGTCGTCATGGTGTCTGTCACAGTCTGTGGAGGGAAGGAGGAGGTGGTTCCAAATTTTATAGCTCTACACTTCAACATCCCTTGTAGAACTGAAGATTTAAACTGTTTAATTTTTTCTCTAATTCAACTTTAAGTATTGGGCGTAAAAGGGAATCTATGACATGACGACATATATCCATTGAATGTTCTGATGTAATTCCAGTTCAAATTGATTCACTTGATGGACGTAACTGAAATAAAAGCATTTGCTTTTTTTTTTCATTTTTTTCTTTGCTTCATTCAACATTGGTCAATGATGGAAGTGATATGACTTAATAATCTTAATCAGATCAACAAGAATAATCTTTTTGATCTTGTAATAATGTTAAATATCCTTTTGAAAAAAAAAAGAAAAAGAACAATTTTATTTTAAAAAAATAGTAAAGCTAACTTATGAAGATCGGAAAGTTGACTTCGGTTTTTTTAAATTTTCTATCATGCTCAGCATTTGGACATAATTGATTATAGAAATCTCTTACCGAATCTAACTTCAGACTTTTATCAAATTGAACAAGGCCTATTTGAGGATCACGAGAATCATAAACTAAATATCTTTATACTAATGATAAACAATGTGTAGTAATTGTTGCTAAAGTTCATTTTTGACAAATTTCGTTATGCAGTTAGTTGTGAAACAAATATTCACTTATACCGACAACACACATCAAATTAAGCCTAATGTCATTAGTACTTCTGGAACATTCAAACTAGAATGACTCTGATGTCATTTATGTTTAAACAAGAAAGTTTGATAGCAGTAATGTGTATTTGAAGTTTTAAAAAGAATCAGATATGATTTCAAGCTCCACTAAAGATAGCTAAAGATTAATTAAAATTTTCTTAATGTGTTTGTCCTGATATGTTGAATTTAAACAGAGCTGTATGAAGCTTTTAATAAAAACCATCAAATCTACTGGAATAAATCATAACTCAATTTGTATAAAATTGTTTGAGTAATGTCTGAGATACACTACTAGTTATTGAAAGAAAAACATCTTATATCTTCAGAACAAATATCAGACTCGATTTAGAAAATTTCATTTTGAGTATCGAGAATACGGTTAATATTCGTGATCGAACTCGACCCGAAGATATTCTAAGCACAAAATACACTGAAAAATACTATCAGACATAAAAGTCAGACAAGTATTCGACGGATTTTGATTTCCGTCTATGATAATGAGATGACGTCAGTGCAGTTTGTTGATGATTCTCGGATTTTTGTGAACACATACAACTTTGGGATGGCTACAATAGAAGAAATAATTTCACTAGACAGTTCACCAAGGACAAACACAATCTTTCAAACTCCTACAAATTACAATCTTATACGCATTTAAATCGTTAGCTAAAACGATTAACTTCTACCTCTTTGATATCTTTGAATATTATTTAATATTAATAAAATAAGCTCGCAGTGAACTAATAACATTAATTCTGATTAAAAATATGAAATTTACTTGAAGATTTAAACGCTTCTTTAAATCTCCAAGAACTATTAAATTAATATTTCTAACAATATAATTGTTTTCATTTTATGGATTTTCTCTTATTTTTAATATGTATGATAGTAAAAATTAATTTAGAGAAGTATTCCTTAAACCTAATCCAATGAATATTTGTAGAATTTTTTCATTATCCATATGTTATTTTTCCATATTGTTTATGCCAAGAGATATACTCTTCATCATAAGATGCAAACAGTAATAATTTCGTCTTTGTTCTTATCAGTTCTTTGCTATAGTACTTTGCTCTTTAGCAAAATATACCAGTTGACATTTATTTGTACTTTGTTCCAGCTTTCTGTTGGAAATTCTGGATATATCGTCTATAAAAATATTAATAAAAGTTAAGTCGTACTAAATATAAATATTTTTAGTAGAATAAAAAAATTTTACACACAATTAGTATTATGTCTTATTCTTTAAAATAAACAATTAATGAAATTAAATTCAAAAATGAATATTCCAAAAGTTTTTGATCTGCTTGAAAATCAATGACATACAAGTGAAATATATCAATTTCGAAAAAAGTTTTTTTCTTTTACAACTTGTATTATTTTTGTGTAGAAAAATTAATTTTCATATATTTCTCGTACTATAGAAAGACAATATATTTGATCACTCATCATGGATTTTTAATAGTTATTTATGAATTATGGTGAATAGATTAAGAAATTTATTTTTATTGAAAAACTTCTATGAATATTGGATTTATCGATAATCATGGAATCGACATATCAATATATGCAATTTATTATCTAATTCGAGAGACAAACATGAATTTTATGTAACTGAAATTGGTTTCATTTTATTTTGAATAGATCAATGAAATTATTACTAAACATCATGAACAAATTATTAGCTAATAAAATTCACAAAATATTCTGTCTTTCATATACAAATAAAATATTAAAACAAAGTAATTGAAAAGCTAATTCCTAAGTAAAAACGATAGTTGTATCTCATTAAAATCGTTTTAACCACATCGATAGATACATATTTTCAATTTGGTATAGTATAGATATTGATGATATGTAAATAGAGAGACTGAACGATAAGGTTAAGAAAGACTAGAATATTTTAAACTTTGTTCCTCCTCCTCAAAATAATTCAAGAGTCGTCAAAAAATCAATTTCGGAGATGAAGACATAATCAAATATTAAACTTATAAAATAACTTTGATAAGCAATAGAATTCTATATTGTATAAAAATTCCACAGAATAGGATTGGCCAATTTGTTAATCTCATAGAATGTGAGGTGAGATGATTCGGATCTCTGTTTTACATTCGTAATGTAATATCGTTGTTGTATGACGAATTCGTTGAAAGTATTGAATGACATTATTATCTTATTTGCTTTTTTAATGAAACGATCAAATTACTTTTTCATAGTATTTTTCTCTAAAAATGTTACGTGATTCATTACTAATTGTTATTCCTCTGAGATTATAGTTAGTCAGTTATACTTAGCAAAGCAACATTGTCAGATATTCAAGCTATTTTGATTCTAACTTTTATTTTCATACAGCTCTTGATTAGATATAAACAAAGCGCGTAAGACTTATTTTTTTATATGATAATCCTTCTACTGGCTTTTAGATTTATTAAATAGTGTTTGGAAAAAACTTTTCATTGTTCGATCTAATCCTTTGTTGATAATTACTTCTAATAGTTACTCAAAGTTTTCAACTCAATCAAATGCACTGATTTCAAATCGATAGAGAACTATGGTTTTATTGTGAAAACATGTATATTCTATTAGAATTTTTGAAAATAGAAGAAAAACTAAATTCAAATACTCTATGTTTTTATCGAGAAATTGTTTGTTTGTTTTTTTGATTCATTTTGTCGTCACATTTATGATCAAGCAGAAACCCATGAAATTGCTCGATTCAACCAAGCGGCATGATAATGAAAACATTTTCATGCAAATATTTATCTCATTTTATTTGATAATGAACCGTTAACATATCAAATATATTATGGTCTGATAAGAAAATATAATATACAAAATTAGAATAAAATCTTCACGAAATAAGATCATACAAGAAACCTACGATGTTTCTAAGTTCAATCTTCGTTCTATTTTATTTAATAATTGTCTTTCTTTATAACTTTCACGTGTTTTTCTTCCTATTAATATAAGACATTAGATTCTATAATAACCATATGTATTTAATATGAAAAATAGTGACACGTTTTTTTTGTTTTTCTGTTTTTTGATTTGGTTTTGTTTTGCGCATGACTTGTTACAGGTATTTCAAAAGGAAATATACACTATACGTCTTTAGTATTACCCTTGTAAACATATGCTTGAAGCAATTACATATCGTATAATTAGAAATTTTGTATTTTCGAAAACAAATATTATTTTATGTTATGTTATGAAATGTCATAAAATATCATATATTTCTTATTTAGTTTTCAATAATTTTTATTTACTGAAATTTAAGAAAAAAAAGAAAACAGAATAACCAAACAAAGCAACACCACATTATTAAAGGATAGAACAAGATACAATAAGACACAAACAATAATATACATAACATAATATTTTAACATAAGGACAATGACAAATAAAAGACAATAGGGAAAGACATAAGAAAGCACATTTAAATTTATCTGACCATCAAATAAAAAAGCAACTGTTCTCCATGTTTATATTTGGTACATTTATTTTTTATTGGTTTTACATTGATTGAGGAGATAAATGATTGAGATCTTTTGATGATAATGTCGTTCCACTAAATGAACGTCGACTCTGCTGTAAGGTTGCACCAAAATGACCTATATTTATTGCACTCTTAACAATATCAGCCAATGATGGAACCGATTGAGCAAAATGATTTGGCTGTATTTGTGAGCTATTAGTGTTTGACGAAACACTAGAATTCATTGAAGAAATTCCGTCCGATTGCATTGTAGAAATTGAATTTGATGATTGTGAACTTGTCAATGTCGAAGATTTTGAGTCATCAGGTGTTACAAAACTAGCAAATGGTCTCCATTGTCTGTTTCCGTTTGATGATGACGATGTTGATTCCAAGAGGATAGGTGCTAGAAACAAAATTTTTATTTTTATTATTTCTTATTGAACATATTCTAAAATAATAAGAAGTAAATTAGGAATACTAGAACAGGAAAAAACAAATCTTTTAAAAACGCTAACAAATGTAGTGACATCTAACAGAGGAAGTAATCCAATATATTATTCATCAAAGAGAAGGACCGCATTGCATCATAAAAGTATTTTGTCGAACAATGATGTCATGATTTTTTTTTTCATCGTTCTTCCTCTTTTAATGCATGAAATGTATCTCAAGGAAATTTTCTTTTTTTTTCCCGTATAAAATTTAATATTAATTTAATTAATTAGTTACTTACCCTCCGAATTATCAAATAATGTTGGGTCTGTATCAGATGCATGGTTAGTGAGATATAGTCTAGAAGAAAAAATAAAGGAAGGTTTACAAAAAAAACAAAAATCAATAAATTAATTGTTTTTACCGATAAAAACCGAATTTTCCTGCTTCACTGGTATTAAGTGGGAGATGAAACATTGATTCAAGTGGAGCTTTCATGCCAAAATTCCATGTGTGTGATCGATCGCGCGTTTTTGAAGCCATTTGTTCAAATGTTTCTTATTTAAATTAAAATAGTTCTGTAGATAGAAAGACTTATATGTTATATAACTTCTTGTTACAAATAAAAGAATAGTCTTTATATATGAAGGGGGGTCTATATATTTTCTCTCATCTACGAAAACATTCTGGAGGGTGTGACGATTAGAACAGCAGCAGAATAGACATAGATTTTTTTTCTTTTTCTCTTTTTTTCTCTTCCGTTCTCTCTTGTTATTCATGTTGATATTTGGACGACCTTGAGCGGATACTGCCAACCCTTCTCGTGATTTCTTTTATTTCTTGTTATTTTGCTTTTTTATCCTCATTTCTATCGACACACCCTCCTCTTTCTAATGTTACAAAATTGTGCCAGTTACCATTTGTGCGCAGAAACAAACTTAATAAAAATCAACTGGCGGGCAACATACGAACATTTCTCCCAAGTGAGAAAAAGAAAGAAAGACAAGAAAAGAAAAAAAGGGGCGAGGTTACGGAGGGACATTTTGGTATCTTATTACTAAAAAAATCTTTATCTCTTTATTTAAGAGGAACATAGGAAAGAGACGCTAAAAGTTATTCTACGTGTACAATATTACGCAAACATTATTCATTAGGACTCATCACATGACGAAAAAAAGTCGAACAAACTTGTAATACAATAAGTACAAGAAAATGATGTTGTTCAAATATCGATATAATATCGTAGGAGTAATTTGCACTATTGTAATAATTCGAACGCAATTGCTCTTTTAATGGACAATCGAAATGACAAATTATAGAAGCAATACATGCTATTTAAAATGACGTAGGTGTGCATATATATTATTCATTTGAATCTTTTGAGTAAATATTTAAAGATAGATGAAATTATCAATTCGCAAAAACTACAAACGCATTTTTTCAATGATGTCATTTATGATGATAGACATGATTATCAAATATTACGAAATTCATAAGAATAATAGACATTCGTCAATAGAAAAAACCAACAACAATTTTTATCAAGAGAATTATTTTCCGAAAAATTTTATTTTCTTCAAAAATAAAAATACAATTTGATGAATTAAAATAATCATAACGAAATATAAGTACATTACTTCATAATGTTAAATTAAAAATGTTGTTACAATATTACGCTTTGTGAAAAGATTGTAGCTTAAAAAAGAGGAAAAACAAATTTCATATAAAAAATATAGGATTTATTATTAAGTATAATATCGAATAGTTTAAGGATGCTGATCAAATAATATTGAACAATACTACAGAGAGAAGATTCGTTCTAAAAAAAAAAAGAAACAACATATTATTGTCAATAAAAATTTAAATAGACATTTACTTTTCAATATTTTATTTTGTTGATGGCAACAAAAAAATTTCTGTATGGTTGTAAAAAGAAATGCTGTGAATCATCGCTGGCAGCATCGATTTTAATCTATATAAACTAATATTAAATAAATATATATGCAATAAGATCTTATTTACTACTCTGAATAAAATTTTCTTTGACGATAATTGACGGCAACAAACAAAGGTTTATTGGATAGAAAGAAAAAATTGTCATATAATTAGTATGAAATGCTGATCTAAAGAATCAAAAACTATTTTATTTAAACCATAAATAATTTTCAAAAAGCATATTATTGAAATGCTAACATGAAAATATTCATTCTTGTTGTATATGTTTTTTTTATTATTATTTATGATAAACATAAATTAATAAATATTTATTGTAGGCAAAATTACAATTCGATGAGAGATAAGTTCGTATAATCATCTACTTTACTAAAAATAGAATGGGATAAAACGAAATAGATAGAAAATTATAATCGTAGTGATCATGTCGATAATTGCTTTAAATATATATGTACGCATTACAACCTAATACAAATGTCTCTGAGTAGGATTCAATTATTGGATGCATATGCAATTGTCAAGGCAAATGTCCTACAAAACGATATTTGTGTCAAAAAAACAAACAGAAGTTTATTGTTCGCTAACTTATAATGCAAAAGGGGGTGGTTCTAAAAATAGTGCATAAATAGATAAGGATATTGTGTCATGTAAATTGTTTTGTGACATGGCAAAATATTTTTCAATAAAAAAAAAAGTATTTATTCTATTCAAAATTTAATTGTTTTGATTGTATGAATTTATTTTTAGTCAAATTCTCATATTATCCAGGCATAACTGGTAAATGCAATTCTGACTGATAAATGAATTAGTCAATATTAGAATATTAATCTTGCCTGATTAAAATTAGAATTTCAATTTTGCCTACAATATATCTTTTCTAATTATTCATGAGTATCAAAACAAAAAAAAGAGGAATACTTTTCCTATTTTCAGGATAATTTGATATGAGTATGTTTACTTTTTTTTTGATATCTAAAGAAAAATGTAGTGCTTGAGGGTTTTTTGTTTTGATTTATCACTATATTCTATTGAATTATTATTCGATAATTGACACGACTTTTCAATGTTTCGAAAAAAATTCATAGATTTTTTTTCGAAAAAAAATGACTTTGGATTTTAAAAATAATTATTAAGTTTAAAAATAAAGGCGCTAGATTCACTAAGTAAACTGATTGTTCGAGAATGGTCCAGTCGAATGCAAAAGAATGAGTCATTCTCAAGTCTTTCTGTTCTTTTCTGATTACTTTTGTCGTTACCTTACAAAAGCATAAATACAATATAATAAATATTATTATTTTCTACCAGAATTAATTTATATCAGTCAATCATTCATATCTTTAGTTATATCTAATTTATAGTCCGAAAATATGATGAAGATTGTCTTTATTTTCATATTCATAGCTTGAAACTGAATTAAATATAATTATCTGATGGTTATCAAAATCTTGATTAATCATTATAATATAGAAAATTGAGTTTATTTTTAGTACCTTGAGAATGTATTTGACTTGATCATATGGCGGTAAAAATATTTTGATACAAGCATCTCATTTGATATATTATCTCTTATCGTTATGGAAAGAAAAAAGAGATAATAATATAGTTGAAATAAAATTTAATATGTTAATAAAAAAATTTTATCAATAATATTAAACTTTACTAATGATCAAAAAGAAAAAGAGTTTGTTGTTTTGAATTCGTAAAAAACAAAACATTCTGAAGTTCAAAATATTTTTGATTCAATATGAAATATAAAATTAAATAGACAAAACTTTTATCAATTAATTCTAGATGATGTATTTTTATTCAAAAACAACATTTGAACTCTTACCAGATGAAATGATCTTAGAAATTTGTCGATATCTTCATTGTAGTCATGTTCTCTATTCATTTTTTGATTTAAATACTCGTATTAATCAAACAATAACATCCTATCGTCAACATGTATGGTTTCGTCGTGCATCTTATAAACAATTACTTTATATATATCAATATATTTTACCTAGAATAGGTTCATCTGTTCTTTCATTAACAATTCATCCATTACATCAAGCATCATTTCCATCTTCATTTAAACATCAAATATCTAATATGTTTCCAAATTTAAAAACTTTAACTTTAACAAGTTGGACAAGTGAAAATTTATTATCATTTATAATTGATACTATACATGAAATGAAATATCTACAAAAACTTATTATACAAGAATTATCATGTTCATCATCAATACGAAATATAGATTTTATTGAAAAAATTTTTAATATAAAAAATAATTTCTTAACTGATATTATATTTGATTATGATTGTGATTCATTTGATTCAATAAATCATTTTATAAATAATATTATATGTCATAATATACTTTCTTTAACTATTCAACTTGATACATTAATGGATTTATCATCTCTTATTCATTTTATACCAAATATACATCGACTTGATGTTTCATTTAAAAATTCATCATTAAGAAAAGTACCTTTTAATATAACACTTCCATATTTAAAAGAATTTTCTGTATGGGCTATACATTGGTATTCACAATTAGATGATCTTAAATCATTACTTCAAATTGTACCTTCAATTGAAATATTTTCTTTAACAATATCTACACGTGATTTTAATTTAATTAATGGTACAAAACTTCTTTCTATACTTCCTTCACAATTAAAACAATTTAATTATACTGTTTGTTATTATCCATATGAAAATTATGGTTATTCTAATATAGATATTATTAAAAAATCATGGCAATCTATTCCTGTTAGATATTCAATTAGTGATATTGATAAACGAATATTTCTTCATACAATACCATATACGTCTTCTCGTTTAACAATAAGATCGAGTTTAGCTAAAAATATGCCTAATAAAGATATGTATCAAATTTATTCAACAATTGATCAAATTCAAGTATATACAATGATGAATCTTTCAGATACATTTCCTATTATAGGACAATGTCGTCGTGTACGTGAACTAACTCTTTTGACAGCAAATGAATCAAAAACACCAACTTCACAATTAACCTCTACAGGTAGATCAAAAATTAAAGATTAAAATAATTAATTACCCTAAAAATTATTCAAATCAAAAACAAAAATGGAAAATCTGTTTATAGATTGAAGTAGTGCTCGCACGAAAAAAGCTATCTGTTGAGAAAAATTCAAAAAACTAACTAAAACTTGTTCTATTTTTGAGCTTTAGTTTAGGGCCAATAAACAGCTGATGATTTATCTCATACTTTTATCTGCTGAGAAAATTCGTCCTACTTTTCTGTTTGTTCCGCGAAGCATACAATAGACTTTGTTCCACTAATTCAAAATATCAATCAAGTTTTAAGTAGTTTAATTTTGTATCATGTCATATATTGAGAAAAATGACTATTGAAATGATCAGTTTGATTATATTGCATATTATTGAATAATATTAACATAAATAGAAAATGTTTTAACTTAAGATCATTCAGAAAAGTAATGTCTTCAATTCTAGAGCAAGTATCCACCGATAGCATTTCAATAGAAGTTATTTCCTATTTAAAAATTGTACGAATATTCTAAAATACAAAAGATTTAATCAATATTGAACATTCAATAGTTGTCAATATAATATGAAGAAAGTCATAATCGTAGAAGAACGAACTTTATCTTCAACTTTGTCCTTATCTTCAACCTTCTGACACACTGTGATCAACTAGAAGTATACCGAACAACCTTAAGGACATCTTTCTGCTATCGTACATAAGCACAAGCGTTGTGAACAAATTATTTTTAGTCTTGCCATGAAGAATGCGATTGTCAAGATCTGATTCAATCCCATTCACCTCGTAATGATATTGTCTATTTATTTCGATTTCACTTTCTACCAGAGAAAGGCAAAGATATTTCGAAATCCGATTTCTATTCCAAGTTACTATGAAGCTGTAAAAATTTGACAGAAAATGTTAAGAGTTTTGGCAGAAAATTGGACTTTTTGTGGGAAGCCTTCGTAATCGAGAATCTTGATCTGACAAGAAAAATATTAGAAACTAAATAAGTCATAGTGTAGCAGGAAGATATTTCCGTAGCGTATGAAAAATGATCAAGAATTAATTTTTAGTGCTATGATGACAAAATCTTTGTTATGCACAGTAAGAAAACTTCATTTCGTTTTTTTGTCGAGATCGAGACCGAGACCTGTTTCATTCATGTCTAACTTTGAATTTGATACAAACTAACGAATGTTTCAGGTGGAATTGTGCTAAATTTCGATATTTCTTTCTTCCACTTCTCATTCGTCAAAAAATTTTGTTTATATATTAAAAGATCGAGAATTTGAAGCTCTACAAAACTGTCTACTTAGTTTTTCTAATAAGTTTTCTTTATCAATGCTAAATTCGAGACGATTCACATATACTCAATCATTGAGCTGCAACTTATTATTTTCTATTGATCATTATTGATTAGTAAAAGCCAGAGATGTCTATGGCGACGCTGCCATCGGAGCAGTGGTGCCGCGGCAGCAGCAGATTTTTTCAAAAGTACATGAAATCGAAACATTTTTTGAATACAATTGCGGCAACAGCAGATTCTCAGCCGCGATAGACATCTATGGTGGAAGCATTGGATTATCAAGAAGGATGTTTAAAGTGAATTATTTCATACTAATAAATAGAAAATTTCGTACTCTATACTTTTACGATTATTTCCAAGGTTTCTGAAGGTGTGTTATCAAGAGAAGAAGGTTTAGACTGACACCCACTAATAGTTTTAGTGCAGTTTGGAAAAGTATGTTTTCCAAAAGTCAAGAATTATTCTACAAAATGTTTATTATTGAGTTATTCAATGTAGAATTTAACGCTGAAGAAAATGGTATAACTGTTAAATAAAACAATGAAAATTCTAAGATTCTTTAAAATTAAAAAAGAATTGTACAGGTTTATTACAAAAGATTTTCTACGTTATTTCGAATTCTTTTTAATTTCAAAGATGCAGAATTCGATGAAAAATTTTATGGTATTCTTGAAATTCCAATGGAACTTTTCATAAAAAGAAAACTTCTGTTCTATTTTAGATTTTTTTGAATGTCGCAGTTACGCTATTGGATAGATAATCATCTTTTTAAGTTAGTGCTAACAAAGAAAACTTGTTTTAAAAGACAAATGAGCAGTTTTGTAGAGCTTTAAATTCTCTATCATTTAGTATTTAAACAAAATATTTTTATGAATAGCAAGTGAGAGAAAAAAAAACACACATCGAAATTTAGTACAATTTCATCTGAGATACCTGTTAGTTCTTTCTAGTGTTTAACAATTATAAAATTGACAAATTTTATTCGCTGAAGATATTTACATAAAACTTAAATTATTTGTATGAAATAAAATTTTCTTATTTTTTTTTATAGCTGATAATAATAAACCACCTGTAAAACTTCCATATCTTGGTCGTCTTGATATTTTAACAATTGAAGGTACTCCATCGGGTTTACATCATATAAAAGAATTACTTGTTGCTGCACCAAATCTATGCGTATTAGTCATTGATTTAGATTGTTTACTTACATTACTTGAAGATGAAAATGAACCACTTATTTTATATGTTCTTCTTCATCAACATATACTTGATCTTTGTGTTCGTATACCAGATAATAATAATAATAACAATAATAATAATAATAATCAACAAACAAAAAAATCAAAATTAACTGTTGAAAAAATACATTTTATAGCACGAGTATTTACTCGAGTTAGAAATTTAACAATTGATTATGAAGCATCAGATGAATATATTGAAACAAATATAATAAAATCAATTATAAAAGAGTTTAAACAACTTGTTATATTTCATATTTATGGTAAAATTCCAAATGATATGATAGAAAATGATATTCGACAATGGGTTATAGAACAAAGTTGTTTTCGTATAAAATCTCTAGACATATTTCGAGTAGAATGTAGTAATGAATGGTTTAAATTATGGTTATAAGAAGAAAATTCTTTAATGATGAAATTTTCTGTTTTTTTAATACACAAAAAAAAAACGAAAAATTTATTTTAGATGAATAATTTCTTAAAATCAAAATTCGAATATTTACCAGATGAAATTATTCTTGAAATATGTCGATATATTCATTGTGGTCATGTATTTTATTCATTTTATAATCTTAATTCACGTATTAATCAAGCAATAACTGATTATTGTCATCATGTTATACTTCGCCGATTAAATTATAAACAATTTCTTTATATTTATTCAAATATTTTACCACAGATTGGTACATTTATTATTTCATTAACAATAAATCGTTTACAACAAACATATTTTTTACATAATTTTAGTCTTCATATGAATAAAATATTTCCTAATTTAGAAAAATTAGCATTAGATGATTGGAAAAATAAAGAATTATTTTCATTTATTGAAAATGATTTAAATCAACTTAAATATCTTCGTACAATTATTATTCGTGGTTTAAGACAAATAAATCAAAATAATTCAATTACATATTCAAATGATGATCAACAACATTTATTAGATATAATTCATAAAAATACTCAAATTGAATTGATTTATTTTGAACCTGATTGTTATTCAATGAAATTATCAATTAATCAAAAAAATTTTATAAATCATTCAAATCTTATAGAAATGAGTATATCACTTTTAACATCTAATGATTTAATTTCTCTTGCTATACTTATTCCAAATATTCGTCGACTTCATGTTATTATTGAAGAATTTTTACCAACAATTAATCAAGATATAATACCATTTCAATGTCTTACACATTTTTCTCTTAATGCTATAGATTTTTATTCAACATTTGATAATATTTCATCAATACTTCAACTTACACCAACTATTCAACAACTTTCATTGACTCTTACTACTAAAGATGAACGTCTTATTTATGGTCAACATTTATTTACATTTTTATCTTCTCAATTATTTACTAACAATAAGCTTATACAATCATTGAAATATGCCGTATATTTTTCTACATCTGTCGATAATTATTTTGATTCAAATAGTCTTTTAGAATCATGGAATCCAATTTCTATTGCTTATACAATTAATAAAGATGAAAAGAAATCCTATATACTTATTCATACATTACCATATCCATCTATTCTTCTTAATTTATATTCAATATTACCTAATAAATTTGGTATTAGTCTAGGTGATCAAGTTTATAATAATATTCAATATTTATGTATATGTCATGCAAAAACTTTATTTGAAACATTTACAATTATACAACATTGTCGAAAAATACAAGATTTAAGTATTCAAATAGATAAAACTAAAGCAATTTTACCAGGTAGAATCAATATATGAAGTCTATTAAATAGTATTACACGAAAAAAAAAGAAGAATTTGAAAATATTTTCAGTCAAATTCAATTTTCTTCTTTTATTCATAGAATCTTATTTAAGTTTTGTTTTTCATATGAATCATCTTAACTAATTTTCTTAAATAGTTTTTAAAAAAATAGAGACATGACAATAGTGTACACAAACTAATGTATTTGACACCTTATACGTCAATAGTTCATGAAAATTCAATCCAAAAGTTGACAAGAAATTTTTTTCTCATGAACTTAGCTCATTTTAAAAAATTTTATAAAGTGAATATACATATATATCTACTATTAGAATGATAATTATTATTAAGAAGAAGATTAGATTTTTCGTTAATTCACAACGAGTATAATTGCAAATGATAAACTAGTACATGATAATAAAACCAATAGAGAAAATACATCAATATCGATTTATTATATATAGTGATAAACATTAGTTTAAAACAGTTGTATTTTTAAGTTTTCTTCTCAAATGGTAATAACTAGTATGAATGTGAAAAAACATTTGTGTAATAAAAAGAATTCTCTATCAAGATTTGTAGACTTGAAGACTTCAACAAACCGCTTGGATGAGAGTCTGCGGAAAACCAAAACTTCTAAAACCAGTTTTCTGATTGTTATTCGAAGCTTTTGGAGAAAGCTTGCATTTGACAAAGGAAGATGATACGTATCTGACCTCTCCATGACCTTCCTTCATCCAGCTGCATTCAATTGACAGAAGGTCCAAGAAGCATTTTTTCTCTCTGTTTCTATTGAAAATTGCAATGTTTTTACTATATTTGACACATTGGGGCCCTCTATAAATTGAATGCACTTCAATGAAGGAAGATCATGGAGAGGTCGGGAACATCACATCTTTCTCTATTAAATACAATCTTTTTCCAAAAGCTTCAAATGGAAGTCAAAATGCTGGTTTTCTGTATCTTGGTTTTCCGTAGACCCATATCTAAGAAGTTTTGTTGAAGTCTTCGGATTGTCAATTCTAATAGAGAATCACTTCAACTGCACAGATGCTTTTTTTTAGATTCTTACCAACTATTACCATCGAGAAGAAAGCTTAAAAAACCAACTGCTCTAAACTTTTGTCCGCTACTCATTAAGAATATCAGATCTGTTAATGCATATAGAACTATTGTATATTTATTCCTTTTCATTATTATCGATATATCTCTAAAATTAGTCTATTGTGAACTAACTTTTGACTGATTGCTTGAACTTAGAGATGTTAAGCTCCAAGATTTGTTTTGTAGAAACTGTTATCAATAGTCATATATCAAATATTGGATCTTCAATTTTTCCATATTATTTATGAGTAAATATCTGAAAAATAAACTCTACGAATATTTACATTGAATGGATTCTAATTAAAATTAAGCAGAACTATTATTATAAACGGTTGATGGAACAATGTCTTTCTAGTACTAAAAAAATGTCATCTTTGAGACTACGATCTAAGAGTCGATGGATCCGTATGTATTATTATATTATTTATGAATCAGTTGAGAAGTATATAATAGAATATTTCATTTTCTAAGAAATATCTATTAGTGTTATCTGGATTCAGTTAATTTGATTAAATCAAAATAATTTTATATTTAATTTTAATATTTTTATTCTAGTTCCGACAAATCAACAAACAATTATTAATCTTCCAAAACTAAAGCAACTTGAAATAATATCTATATTTGGAACGATAGATAATTGGCAACATTTTAAAATATTACTTATCGCTGCTCCTAATATTAGTACATTGTGTATTGATCTTGATTGTGCTATTAAATTATTTGAGACTACTGATGAAGATTTAATATTTTCACGTGTTCTTCATTTATTTATTGATGGAAACAACAGTAATGTTAAACTTAAAAATGAACATATACATAGTTTATCGAAAGTTTTTAGTGGTATACATTCATTAAAAATCAAATATAAAACAGAAAATTTCATTGAAACAGATATTATAAGTACAATATTAGATAATTGTAAACAACTTATTGTATTTACAATAAATGGACAAATATCAGATGATAGATCAATAGAATATATTCAAGAATGGCTTATTGAATATTCATCTCGATTAAAAAATTCTGATAACAATTATCAAGTAGATTTTTGTGATAATTGGTTTCAAATTTGGTTATGAATATTTATTGTTTTTCTTTATTATAATTTCCTTAAACTGATATTTTAAATAAATTTTAATAGACAACTTTTTAGAAATTTTTAATGAATATTTTATAGACTATGATTGAATATATAAGTTTATACGACATTCAACATTTACCAAATGAACTCTTTTTTTTTTCAAAATATGTCAATATATCAATTCAAAAGATTTGCATTGTGCTTACGAGGAAAGTTTCTTAAATGAAAATCCGCCTTTCGTACATTTTTTTTTATTAAACTTTTCAATTTTAAGTCTATTTATAGTCTTACAACGAAAAATATACCTATCAACAAACAGAAGAATGTAATAGTTTAATGTTATTGAAGCCATACATGAAGTATTGTAGCATGAGCAAGTTCTCGAAGATTCTCCAGTCGATATGCACGTTTACAACGGTTCGGAAGATCACGCATTTTTGACTTCTGTTCATTTTCACCAGTCAAAAGAGTATGAAAAATGATAAAATTCAATTTTGGAAGACCATTTATTAGTATATGTAATGTTTCAGGAACTTGACTACCATCATGACAGTTTAACTCTATGATTTCCAGATGTGGCAATTGTTTGACAATTAAAGAAACAATACCTATTATATCTGGATATTGCCAATCCGTATAAAAATGTAGTTTTTTTAATCCATTTGACATGAGTATATTGCATAAAGAAGTATCATTGAAAAGTTTGATTACATTTTGCTTGTTTCTTTCATCATCTAAATCATAATCGAAGTAATAAAGAAGCTCTAGAGTACGTAAATGAATCGTTTTTGATAAGAGCAAACGTAGTTGACATAAATCGAATGGATCATCAATTGTAAGCGAAGTAATTTGTTGGCAAGAAACAATAGTTAGTAAGTAAGAGAGACATTCGTCATTGGTTTGAGAATATCTACCATCCAATGTTATTTGATTGATACATGTCAAACGATTGTTCAAAGCTCTTGATAAACTATATGGCCAATGACTTTGTCTAAATAATTTAGAAAAATCATTTTTTAGAAGTAGATGAAATTTCTACATACACGTGAACAATGTTTTTGTTTACATATTTATAAGCATATAAAGATTTGTCCTTTCGTGGTAACGTGAAAGCTTTAATAGAATAACTATCATTATATAAACATAATTCTAATTCGATTGGTATTCGTCCTTTCAATTGTTGCAATGTATTTAACAAAATACTACTTGTGTTCGATAATGATATTGTAGTTTTCACAATCCATCTAACAATGTATGTATATGAACACTGATGACAAAGCATTGATAATAACTTGGAAACAACATTAGGTCCAGTCACCATTCCTTCTAATGTGAATTTTGTCAATGAAAATAAAACATTATGATCAAATAATTGATCAAGTAGATCCATAGCATTAGTATCATATTTTAATGTTATTTTAAGACGACGTAAATTAGGAACCAAACGTTTATCAATACGAGAAATTTGACTGAAATAGATTAATAAAAAATAATCATAAATACATTATATATTATTTCACATTTTATTGAAAAAACAAAAAACTCTTTTCTATTGCTCATCTACACTATATCATATAGTACCAATGTTCTATTTATACATAATAGTTTGTATTTTTATATTAAAAATACTTCTCTTGATAATTTACCATCGATGAAAATTTTTTAAAACTTTCCATATAACAATTTTCTATCATATCATCATGCATTGTATCATAGTCATAAAATAACGGAACTTTTTATTTTACTCAGCTTTTGTGGAACTCACGTAGATTTTCGAAGAAAATAGTGAGTAGAAGTTTTAAGGCCAAGATTTCGCGGCTCCCCCTCCCTCTACAGGCCATAGCAACGAAAGAGAATATTACAGACCTTACCGACCAGATTTAAAAAAATGAATATACATAAACACATATATGATAGCTTCATTCGCCATATAATTCAATGCTTCTTATAATAAAAATGTAAAATTAAAGAAAAAAGTAAAGTTAAAAATGAAAAATACTGAGCGAATAGCAACAAAGAAAACGAAAGATAAAGGCGCCTATCGGAAAATTGAAAAATGCTTGATTTTATGCTATCTATATTTTGAATCTTAGTGCAATGAAGCTGAAGAATCCACGTGAGTTCCACATTTCAGCCCCAAAGGGGCTGCGCTAACAAGCTTTTTTTCATCGTCTAATTGACACTTATTTCGAAGATGTTCCTCCTTTGACTAATATTTAACTGAATATATTGTTGATATAAAACTATAAATAAAATCTAAAAGAAATTTATTAATGAAACATTAACAAATAATTAACCAATATTATGAGCATATTTTCATAGACAATCTATATTTATTTAACTATTTATTATCAAATATCCACAAATGTGAATATCAGAGACTTGCTATAACAGGATAATGTATTGTATAAGAAGAAAAACCATTTCTTTTTTGTCACGTAAACTCGTATTAAAATTCAATGGTTACAGTTTTAAAAAACAATTCTTTGATGTTGAAACTAACCAAAAGTATTTGAATTGTAAGCTTATTTTGCAAGATTAACTTTTGACAATAATTGATTAATGACTTTTATCGAAAGAGAATGATTCCATATTATAACTTATTTTACAGTATGTTAGAATATTTCTTCAAAATCTCATTGATTTTTATTTCACAGAAATCTTAAAATTTTGTGTTCAATAATTATTAGACGAAAAAAAATGAGAAAAATTTTTCTTTCAAAAACCAGGCCAATTGGATCATACTTATATTGTGATTAGATATGAGTTGATTGTCTTTTACTAATGAACAACATAGTAATCTATATGTTGGTCTCATAGAAAATAAAAACTACTGCTTACTTCTATCTTCTTATATTCATTAAAAAATTATTGAAATAACTCTGAACTTTTCAAATTATCATTTTACAATTAAACACTCCAAACGTCAGTAAACATTGTTGAAAAAGAATATTATTAATTTAGAAATAAAATCACTTTTAACTATTATTCTATTATTCTAATATGATTATATGACTTTACATAGGTATATCATATAGATTATTTTGATTTTAATAAAAGAAACTTACTTTTTATAATTATTCAATAATGGATGTTTATCAGGTAGCCAAGGTGTACTTAAATCAAAGGTGAGTTCTTCCAATTGTGGATAATATTGGAGTAAATGTGAGAGAAAAGCTGGTGAACATTCTCGAAGTACAAATGATTGTAAATTCGAATGATTTGTTTCAATCGGTATAAAAGGTTTATTAAGTGGTAGAACTATTTGACTGTCTAGAGTGTCGTATATATACCGCCAGAATCGAAGGTGACATACACGTAATAAAGGAAATAAACGAAAGATTCTTTTATAATATGCACCCTCAGGTACATCTTTAAATGTATATGCAGCTCGATAGTATTCTGTATAATGTACGTTAAATATGACGAGAGATGTGTTGGATGCAGATGTATTGAGCATTAATTCAAAACAAGAACGTTTAATATCGATTAAAGATAAATGACGAAGATTGATAAATGCAGATATATTAGATGCTAACCATAAACCATTATCAATAGCTAATGTATGTGAGATACACAATGAAATAAGACGATTACGTATGTTTGGTTGTAATAAATGTGCATAATAAAATTCAGTGACAGCGATACCCATACCATTCAAACCCAAGTTAGCGCGAATAAATGGTATATTGCTAACGATAGCAGTGAAACGAGAATTGAGATTAGAAAAAATATTGAATATTTCATGGAACTGGAAATAAATAAATATCTCGTAGAATAATTCGACAGAGAGATCGTTCAATTTTGTTATCATATTTTGTTTTAGTATCATACGATTGAATGCTGTGTCTCATTCTTATTGAATAGCTTCGTAAACAATAACACAATGTGGTTATTGTTCTCTTTGTCAACAATTGACGCTGTGAGATGATATTATCGTTCTTATTCATCAGCTTCATTGATGAACAACAAATCGACAAACACAATTTTTATTTTCTTTTTCTTCTTTCGATAACATATCAAATAGTTTTCTTTATATTTTTTAGTTATTATTATTATTGTTATTCTTATACTCGAAGTAAAATGTTTTCAGAAGGAAATTAAATAGAAAAGACTGCTATTAGATTATCATTTCACTTTATTGGATAATCAATAATATGCTGATATTGAAAATCATAATTGATTCATATATCATTGTCTTTTACTTTTTATGTTTTTTTTGTTAAGTCAAATAATTTTAATAAAAAAAATGCAATTAAAGGATGTAAACGTCAATTAGCAATTATTATTAAACAAGAATATATTTTTAAAAGAGCAGTGGTAGAATCGATTCCTAATATAATATCAAATTCTTCTTCACAATCTCAAGCATATGGATATCATTTTATTTCTTCTTTCGCTTTTCTTATATATATACGTCTCTTAATGTGAAGAATCGACATCTGATATCTCATAATTGTATAAGTCATTTTATCAACTAATCGTGTATTGTGCGCTAAATGATATGATCTTCTATATTTTTCCGTTCATTACACACCATCATAAATCAATAAAAACTTGTCTTAAAATAAAATAAAATAAAATAAAATCAATTCATTGATAATATTAACTAAAACAAGCGAGAAAATCCCAAACAATTCTTTGACGTTGTTTTGAAATAAATTATATTAATTATCAACAATATTAATCACTCTCTACTAATGTCATTGGTATCTGTAATTATTTCTTGAACTGATTATCGTCGTACATTATTTTTATCGTATCGAATATTAATCAGTGAAGCAACATATTTATCGTCAATTTCATCTATTTCAATATCTTATAAATAATATTTCATTAACATTAATATTTATTTCTTGAATTGATATTTCAAACAATCAGTTTTTGTTTTTTCATGTTTTTAAAATTCAACATGATAGAAATTTTTTTATATTTGATGATGATCAATCATAAATATCAATATGTATGAAATGAAATTGAGAGATAGAATTCATCTTATTACATCTATTGATTATTATTGGAGATCATCATGATGATATGAAAGATGTCAAATATTACAAATTTATCTTCATGTAACATCGATAAGTCTTTAAATACTTGAATATCATGCATATCTACCACTTTTAATTGAAAAATGTTCTTTTTTTTTCATTTTCTATATTATTATTATTTATTTATTTTTAAAAGTATTTCTTGTTTTATATTGACATAATAAAATCAATATATTTGAATATATTGATTAAAATTGAAAATAATTATCAAATTCTACTATTCATAAACTAATTTGCAATATTTACGAATAAAGAAATGATATTAGAACAATCATCGATGGTGATTGAATATGAATTTATTTAATGATTTAAAAATATTTTATCTATACAATGTTTTCATAATGAAGATACATTAATATTCATTAGTATTAGAGATAAAATGAAGAAAATCGTTTGATTTTTATTTTTTTACAATTTGGAAATGAATATGAAATTAATACAATGCAAAAAATCATCGTTTGAAAAAGCTATTGAACATGATGAATAATTTATATATGTATTAATGCATTGTTGATTTTGAATAATATTTAATTAGATTGCTACTTCTCTATATCATCATTAGTTAGATAATTATATTTATTATTTTCTTTTTGTTCCAAGTTGATTTAATCGTATGATTACGTTAATATATATTTTGTATTTAAAAAAAGGTATTATTTTAAGCTGGGGTATGAGAAAATTTTTGTTCATATTAGACATTTATTGAATAGAAAAACAATTTGAAATAATGAAGTGTGTCTTATTTAGTTTAATATGATAGGAAAGAAAAAAGAAATTCTGATTTAAATTAAGTTATCAATAGATTAAAAAAACCAGTCTTATCAAGAATTTAAAAAGTCTTTTTTGTACTAGATAATTTATTAATTACAATTGAAAACTTAATAATGAATAATTAGTGAATATTTCTTTTGTTATGTTTATAGATTTATTCAATTTGATTTTAACAGACTTTTAAATATGATTCAATTATGATTATAATTTTATCGGATGATTGTCAAATACATTCTCAATCATAACTTTGTACTTGGTTAGATGCATCATTAACTCTACATCGATATGTTTGCAATGAAAAATCACATCAAATTGATTTTTCTTTATATATACGTTTAATAAACATTGAGAAATTTACAAACAACAACAACAACAATAATTTATAACAATAATAAAAGAAAAAAAAATTGTCTTTTATGAAAGAATGATCGAGACTTATTCAATTTTCTTTTGATTATTTTTTCGATGATATTAATTATTAACCCTTTGAGTACCGGCGACGCAAATTCACGTCCTGATAGTTTAGGGTCTGAATAACTTTAGAAAACATGATCGTTTGATTATTTTATGATATGAATTACATGAATATTTGCGTTTAGGATATTTGTACGGTTAAGACTATCTGTACCTAGTAATGAATATTGGTTGTTCCCTAATATTTCTATCGACCACTATGTGATTCAATGAATTAGAACATAAGTCATTGGACAGCATTTCCCAAGAAAGAATAAATCGTTATCAACAGGATTTTTCATATGAATACAGTCATTGAAGAGTGTTATCTATAATAAAGGTTCTGATCAGTTGATCACATTTAATAACATTTTCCTTCGCGCATTGAATCAACAGAGCCTCAACTAAATCCAAGAAGAAAATGTTACGTTTGTGCCAACACTGTGAGAGGAGCCAGATCAAAAAGAGATACTTCGTATGAATGCATTGAATGTGATGTAGGATTGTGTCTTATGGATTATTTTAAAGATTATCACACTCTACTAGCATTTTAATTCATGTACTTTGTGATATTTTTTGCGAAATAAACGTTAGTTTGAAATTATAAAAATTTTTATTATATAAAAATAATCCGGTACTCAAAGGGTTAATCACAAAGTCAAAGTTTTTCTTCGTTTTCATAATTTTTCTTTTTATGAAAGAAAAACCTATTTAACAGTTCAATGAAATAATCATTATTCAATTCGATGTTCGTTCTATTAAAAAAAAACGAATTTATTTAATGATACTCATTTATATAACGGACTTTTTTTTCTACTCATTCACATTAAAAAATATCTTTATAGCCCCTTCAACCTTTCGAAACTTGATATTTATCAAAAAAAAAACAAAAATTTTTTGACATTAACATCTAAACTTATTTTATCTAGAAATTTACAAAAATAGTTTTGACTATTGAAGGTTTTGCTGGTTTGTTCTAAATGATTTATTAAAACTATCAAGATAAATAATGATATCTGACGCAATCACTGAAATTTTTTAGAACAATCAGATTTCATATATAATCAATGTTCAATATCTTAGATATATACATTTGAGATCGCCAATGACTTGAAGATGTTAAAAATGGACCTTCATTTTACGTACACCCTCAAACTAGACGATTTTTTATATAAAATAAAATAGGATATTTTGTATGAGTTACAAAGAAAAATGAATCATCATTATCAGTCTGTAAAGAAGGTGTAAGACACCAAGTCAATTTAAAAAGAATTAATTTGTTATTCTTGTGTCATTATTATGTTGTTGAATGGTTTGACAACTGCAGAGGCAACAGTAGCTTCGTTCTAGAGAACTATGTTGTTTTTTTTTTATCTATAGATATATGCGTAATTCTTCAGATGAGGGAAAGAATTTTTTCGACTGATAATCAATGGTAGATAAACTCTTGAGTTTTCAGAACTTTGAAAGTTTGGATGATCAGAAAAATGAAAGAGTAAAAATGAAAAAAAGATTTTCTTTCAAGCAGATTGATGAAAAATTCTCTTTGAAATGAAATGAAATCGAACATGCATAACTTGTCCTCTGGTAACTTGCTGAATAGTAAGGTATGGAAGCATGAAATTTTCTTATTAATCTATATTCATGATCCAAACATCTATAGAAAGTAGTTTATATCTTGTCGAAATTAGATTTCTTTTAAAGAAGAGAGGCTTAAATAATTTCTTACTCATTCAACTATTATCATAATGCCTTGAGATAAATTTCGTTGAACATATTGAAGAAATGTATCAGCTGTTGAACCAGTTAGATGTTTAAACTGTAAAAATTGTTTAAATTAACAATCGATAATGAAAAGAAAAATAAAAAGTTAGCATGAAATTTTTTGTAATATATTCGAATTTCATATTCTCGCTAATATTTCTTTTTAGCAAATTTTCAACCGAGTAAAGTTCAACGTTCAGTAAAAAAAAAAAAAAGGAGGATTTTCACTAAAAAATAATTTGAAAATTTTATTTCTTTTTAAATAAATATAAATATATTATTTACACATTAACAAGTTGAATATCAACTTGTGTAAATACAAGACGAACAAATCTCTCATAACTTTCTAATACAGCCGGATCGTGAACACATACGTGGTAATAACACAGTTTCATAGCGACCTCATCGAACGCTACCATTTGACAGGTTGATCCATAACTCCAATCATTTAAACATCGATAACTTACTTCGAGAAGAATGACTTGCTCTGTCTCTATCAACTTACTTTCTTGTTGTGTCATATTTTATTTTACTCTAACTTTTTATTCAATAAAAAATGAAAATACTGTTATTCTTTCCGAGAATTTCTTAATCTAAATCATTTTATTACTAAACTTTGTGTTTTTTTTTAATGATTTCTAAATTTTATTTCCTTCATAGAGATTTAATTTGTATATTTTAGATGGCATTTTCATTTGGCACAACTCCTGCAACAAGACCGACTCTATTCGGCACTCCTGCAACTACCACTACATCTACAGCTCCAACTACAAGTCCGTTTACATTTGGTGCACCAGCAGCTACAACAACATCATCTACAGCTCCTATATTTGGTGCTCCTGCTGCAACTACGACAGCTACCACTACACCATTCACTTTTGCAACACCAGCTACTACGACAACATCAGTCTTTGGTTTCGGTACTCCAGCATCAACGACTACAGCAGCAACAACAGCAGCAAAACCACTCTTCACTGGATTTGGTACAGGAGCAACTACAACAACACCTGCATTCGGCTTTGGTACAGCAACTACAACTGCTACAGCACCAGCTACTTTCGGTTCATTTGGATTTCCAACGGCACCAGCTACAATAACAGCACCTACATTTGCCTTCACCGGAGGTTTGTATCTCATATATGATAGTACTCGTTTTTTTTCGTTTACCGAAATATATCATTTTTTAGGTTTAACACAGCCATTCGGAACTGCTACTGTTGCACCTGTTCCAACAACAATTCCAACAACTAATGTAATTCGTTCAGATGATATACTTATAACATCATTAACTTCACCACGTTTATTCAATGATGAACGAGATGAACTTATTCTTAAATGGAATATTCTACAAGCATTTTATGGTACTGGTAAAACATTTTGTCATCAAGGTAAATATAATAATCATACAAAAAAAAGAAAAGAAAATTAGATTTAATTTCTATGTTATTCTTCAGGTGTATATGATGTTGATGCTAATCTTCCTTATCATGTCTTTAAAGTAAATTTAATCATTTCTTTTTTAAATGACAAAAAAAAAAATTTTATCTTTCTTATAGACATATTCATACAGTGTTCGTCCGAAAACTCGTGATGAAGATGGTCTTGTAGCATTGATTATTAATCAAAAATTAGCTGATGTTGTCAAAGATAAAGATAAACGTATTGAATCTCTTCATCGACTTTGTTTTAATAATAATCCGAATTGTATTATTGAACTTGAAGGAATTTCACCATTAGCCGATGATCGTACTCAAGTAAATCGAATGAAATTTTTATTTTAAAATTATTTAAAAAAACAAAACACAAATCTTATTTTAGATGTTAATTGTTGTTAGTGAAAAACAACCTGGAACATTATTAATTAAAAAAGCAAAATCATCTGATGTTGTTAATTATCTTCAACCACCACAACCACAACAACAAACAACAACATTACTTGCACCACCAATAAATTCAAATAAAGCACATTTAGATTCCATGGGTATTGTTCAAATTTTTGCAAGAACAGATTTAAGTGAACAAGATTATAAACAATATCTTGATTCTACACCACCAGGTTTATTTTTTGGAACGGAAGAAATAGATTTTCTTATTGAAATTTCATTTAGGTCTAACGGCGTTTGTTTGGGAACAAGCAAAAAAAGAAAATCCTAAACCACAATTACTTTTGCCTGTACCACTTGTTGGTGTTAAAGGTAATTAAAACTAGATATTTTCATTTTATTTTGTTTCAAATATATTTTCTAATAGCATTACGTGATCGTATGAAATCTCAATTTATTGAACATGAAGATCAAAAACAACAATTAGAAAATATTCGTCAACAATTACGTACTGTTAAAGATCAATGTGAAGCATTTCGTTTAACAATGAAACGTTATCAAACAAATTTACTTGATTATTCGCATCGAATTCTTAAAGTAACAAAAAAAAATATATATCAAATAATTTATTTAACTTTTTTTTGTTTTTGTTAAGGCTACAATTCAATTTGAAAGTCGTCGTCGTCAATATGAACCAAAATTAACTTCAACTGAAATTCAAATTTGGACTAATCTTCATTCATTACAAAATTTATCTCAATCACCATTAGATATTCGTATAAAAGATTTAATTATGAAAATACGTATGAATCCAACATTATTAGCTCCAATTCAATGGTCATCAATACTTAATTCAAATGAATCATTACGTTTTGATAAAGAAAAAATTGAACAAATTAAAGATATTTTACAAGAAATTCATCGAGGAATTAAAAATGTTGTTGAATTAGTACAAAATGATCGAACAACATTAGGAAAAATTGATGAAAAAATTTTACAAAGAAAATAAATCAATTAGAATTTCTTTTTTTTTTTTTTTTGTTTATCAGACATTTGAGGAGAAAAAAAGACTTGTGTATTTTTGTTATTATTTGAAAAATATATTAATGTTCAGAAACAAGCAAATCATTCATTTTCCGTGGTAACAATAATGTTAGAATCTTCCAACATATTCTATTCATACAGGTAATAATTTAATTGAAATATTCAATAATTAGAATCGAATTAATGATTATGAACAATATGTGTGATTTCTCTGTAATTTGAATAAAAAGAAACAAACTAAAACTCGATCGTTCACCCGAAATGGCCTATAGAGCCTATAGTATCAATAGATCTAATATACGAGGAGTGGAAAATCTCAAATTAATATTAATTTTGAAATCTATATGTTAACATTTATTATGACTTTCAATTCTTCAAAGGTCCTAGAAATTGAAAAAAATTCCTACGAATTCGAACTTATATAAATGTAATTATCTGTTCTTTTGAGTCTTATCATTTCAAAAACAGCTAAGAAATAGGAAATTTACTGTCTTGAGGGTGTGGATGATCGTCTGAGAACGTCATTGGAATGAATCAAATAATCGCCGTCACTGTAACCGATAAAATACTAGTATCAGTGAAAGAACACTACTTGTTTTTTATCTCTGATTTCTGCTTTTCTCTCACTTGTCCATAGGTTATTTTCGTCAGAAATCAGCAACTAGATATTTATTCAACGTTAATAAGAATTCTAGATTTGCGACGACCTTATAGAATACTAGTAAAATGATTGACACTATTCAGATGGGCTGAGAAAAATCAGCATTTTAAAAATACTCGTTTATTCTTTTAAATTTTTGTTTGTCTTGCATATGTGTCTGTGCAAAGTGAATAGATGAATGCTGCATACAGAAAATTTTTTTCAAGTTAAATTTGAAAACTGAACTATAATCGATCATATGAAAAATCAATCAATACTTAGATGATGTTCAAAATTTAGAAATATTGACTTTAATAGATTTCTAAAGTTAATTCTAATATAAAACTCATGAACACCTGATTCAAACAACGATTCACACTTATAATTTTATAAATATTATCATTGTTCTTGAATGTAATAAGCAAGTTCGAAAAACTTTTTGACGATATACAGATATTCATGTATATAAATAAAAACTGAAGACAATACTATATAATCAATGCAAATCTCAATGAATCGTAATTAATCATAACTTATAATTTCTCTTTTGAACATGTTATTAAGTGATTTATCGCTTTTGGCTCCGTACTTTGCATATAAGTAGGAGACCTGGAGATTAGAAAAACTCTAAGAGGATATGGACCTATGCTACGATTTGGCTGAGATATGAAGTTTTTACGGGAATTTCCCTGCAGGACCCTGACTTTCTTTCAAAATCATATTATTGAATTTTGATCTGAAACTTTGTCCATATCAAGGTCTCAACTAGACTAGCTTGTATGAAAAATTTCAGAAGCTTTGGACGTAGCATCGCCGAAATATGAATAAACATAAGTATTTTGGTAATTCATATTTCGGCGATGCGCTACATCCAAAGCTTCTGAAATGTTTCATATAAACTAGTCTAGTTAAAACCTTGACATAGGCAAAGTTTCAAGTCAAAATTCGAAAATATGATTTTGTTAGAAAATCAAGGTTCTGCAGCGAAATTTCCGTAGAATCTTCATATCTCAGCCAAATCATAACATGGACTCATATCTTCGTAGGATTTTTCTAGTCTACAGGTCTCCTACTTATGGGAAAAATATGATGTCAAAAGAGATGAGTCACTTCGAACGATTTTCTCGCTATTGACGGTGTGTGGGATGACTGGCATGCCTCACAATTGCTCGTACTACCGCTCATATACCACAGTACTCATAAGAACCATCGGCATACCGTGATAGAATGGCGATCAGAGGATAATCAATTGTTTAGGTATTAAACTACCAACGATTTTTGTTTGGTTCAAATCACATAGGTGTTTATTTTACGAAGGACAAAAATGAACACTTTGTTTTAGATTTATTAATTCTACACTGCTCTTGCTAATATTGTAGGAACAAAAAATATATAATAAGTTATAAAGTCATTTCAATTCAATGTTCTCATAAGATTGGCATGTAAAAATCTCCTAGAACTTTTTTTCATTTTGCAAATAAATTCCTATATTTTCAAAAAATGCCGAATGAGACCGAAATCATTCGACTATGAGTTATGAAAAACGATTTTAGAACATGTGTGAATAAAAAAAAATTAAGTCTTAAATTGGAATTTATTTGTTGTGAAAAAGTAACATTGTGTTGCAATCAACAGTCGGATTCGAATCAAATTAAAGCTTTGTTTAAAAGAGAGAGTAATTGGAAGCTTTCTTTAAGCAATTTGTTTAAAATTAAATAAGTATTTTGTATTAACAAAGGAAAGTGTTAATGCTATCAAAACACTCGTAGATCGAGATAATATGAATGTACTAAGTTGTACTGAATAAAAACGAGTACTTTCTTCGCCGAATAATTTACAAATGAACTTCATTCATTTGAACATTTATACCGTAGTAAAATTGTTTAGTCCTTCTAGATTAAATTATTTTTAGTAATGTTAAAAAAGAAGCTGAATTCAATCTCTTTTTTGTCATTGTGACATATAGAAAATTATCTTTAATTTAATACAAATACAGAAAAATCAAGTTTTATTGTTTATAAGAAAGAAATTTTGAAGAATTTGTTAAAGAACAGGTCCAAATATAATTCCCCAATCGTTAAGTATTCGTTTACTTAATGTAACTTGACCAGAAATTTGATCTCGTGTTTTACATAAAATAGTAAACTTTTGATTGTTTTCATCGATATTAATTGGTGCTAAAAGTTGTCCTTCGACTTTTAAAAATTGTTGAAAATATTCAAGTGAATCCTGTGAAATAGCTCCACAAACATGAATAGTATTAAAATATTGTTCAGTAGATTTAAAATGTTGTTCTAATCCATTTTTTATTTGATTTGCATCTTGTATATTATTAACTAAAACACATTTAATAATTTGTCTAAGAATAGGTGGTACATGATTTTTTAGAACATTTTCAACATGTTGAAGACCTTGATTATCTTGTGAACATATCCATACTTGACCTTGAAATCCAACTATTTGAGCTGCTATTGTTTGAATATAACCTCCTTTAGCTCCAAGAAATAAAACACGATCACCAGAATTTAATGGTATTAAACTCAATTGAATAGCAGTAATTTCTGTTGAACTCATATTTTGTGTTTGACTAACACGTAATGGTTGCGAATAATTATAAATTGATTTAAGACATTCATCATCATTTTTTATTTTAGTAGCATTCTTATAGACAGTCATATCAACAAATAAATGCTTAGGTACTTGTAACATAGCATTGACAATTGTATCAGAAAAGTTCTTGGCAAATGACGATGATTTACGCATATCATTTATCATTTTTTCGATTAATAATTGTGTTTGTTTACTATGAGTTGGCCATTTCATTTCTATAATAGGTGAATAAGGTAATAATTTCATTTGAGTATTATCAACTTGTTCCATCACTGATACACCAATAGTTTTTTCCATTGATATTGTTTGTTTATTAGATGGATTCTTCATTTCTAATAATACTTGTAAAAAATCCTCGAGTTTACAACGATCTTTTGGTTCATGAGACCATCCACGTTCTATTTTTTCTCGAAGATTTTTTGGAAATGTTGAATCGAACTCAGGTCGTTTTTTATTAAGATAAACAGTAGTAATAAGTTGATGTGAATTCATATTTTCAAATGCTATTTTACCAGAAAACATTTCATAGAGAATTAATGATAAACTATATATGTCAACTTCTTGACCATATTTTGTACTAGCTTCAAGTAATTCAGGAGCTGTATATTTCTATATTAGAAAAAGAAATAAAGAAAAATAATAATATATATAATTATACTAACTGGTGTACCACTGCCTGACGTATTATGTTGAATTGTTGCTAATACTCTTGCCATCCCAAAATCAGATAATTTTGCACGATTATCTTGTGCAATTAAAATATTTTCGGGTTTAAGATCTCTAAATAAATATATTATTAATGAAGATATCAGTTCTGAACAAAAGTAGTTGTTTCTCTCATGAAGTACTACTATTCTTTATGATATTCAACTAATATTTTAGATACATGCATGCAACAATAAACCCTGATTGTAAACATTAAACTACCTTCCATTGGTTTACATGTACTAGAGTTATAAATCAGACATCAGTTTATCTTAACCATGTTCGCACAAATATTTTTGTCTAACTTCTCATTCAAAAAGTCATTGTCGTCGCTATGTCTAGATCGAATTCGGTTAGAAACCGCTTTAAAATAACTAAGATATTGTCTTTTCATTAAGAATATTTGTTGAAGAGTGAATATTGATTTTTAGTAAGATGGATCTTTTTCATGAAGACTTTAATCAATTCTTTTGAAAATTTCAGTAGAAAATTCTCATGAGACGACAAGTCTGTTCAGAAATTTTTCAAGCCGCAGAACTGAATGAAATCGAGCTAGTGCTACAACATGAGTTCACTATCTCAATGTGTGTTAATCACGACGACCTTGTCTATGCGTCATGAGATTTTGTGATAAAAAAAAATAGACATATAAGGACTGTCTTTAGCATTAGTAGCTTGTGAAATTGCAAAAACTTTTTGAGCGCATATTTTCGTTGAATATGTTTTTCACAAAGGGAAGAAAATGTGTAAATCATAACTCCAGTGCGTGTGAACCCATGCGTAGCACTTCATGGGAAACGGATGCTTTTGTCCAAAACTGTAGATGAAACAAATAATTCTTTACTCTTTACAGTTAGACATGATTTGGAAAATTATTTCACTGTACCAAAATGTATTCATTTGAAAACTCAAATAAAGGAATATTTCTCTTGTAGCAATAAGAGTTTAAGCTTCGTACACAGGTTGTTTTTTTATTTATCTATAAAATGCGTCACTTTTTTTGAATGACA